GCCATTTTCGGGCCCTCATAAGATCGACCTGCCCTGAAACTTAGGCACCAGACCAGGGTTTTAGCACAGGCCATTTTGGCCTGTTTTCAAGACAGCCCTTGCTTCAACTTCAACACCAGGGTCTGGCACATTTTCGCATTGGCAAGAGCAGCCTCCTGGACGGGCCAGCACTATATAAGACTGGCCCGCCCTACAGGCTGCAGACAGTCACGAGGTAGTTCCTAGGAACTTCCCAGGCACTTCACGTGCAGGAGGCAGGAGGCAGTCTTCAGGATTCGGCAGCAGCACTCTGGAGGAGCACTGCAGTAGTAGTAGTAGCGTTAACAGTAGCCTTCAGCGCTGGGCACTATTAGGAGCTAGAGTAGTAGTGGAGAGAGAGAGATGGTTGGCGGAGGCCAGGGAGACTTACCTGTGGCGCGATAGCTCCAGCTCCAGCTTCATCTTCGATGTACCTGCAACAAGGCGCCACCTTCCCAGGTTAGTACCGGACTCTGAGAGAGAGAGAGAGAGTTCTTCTGCTTCCTCTTCTAAGTCCACTATCTCCTCCTCACCCTTTCGCTACCTAACTTCTCAGTACCTGCAGACTACGAGAGAGAGAGATTGGTGACTTTGGGACTTGAGGACATTGGATCCAGGCTTGACATTGGGATTCAGACATTTGACGAGGGATTATTTGGGACCTGTGCCGAAGACTTGGTGTTGACGACATTCCCATCTTCCCCTCTTTTTCGTCTAACCCCCCTCTTCTTCTTCTGTGTATGGTTGGGGACTGGCGCATTCTTCCTGTGTGAGCGCCAGGCCCCTTCACACCATGGAAGGATGATGCTGTATGTTTGGGCTGCATTGCGACATTGAATGTTCGGATCATTGGTATTTAAGCCTTCCGCTGTGCTATCTTGTACTATGTGAGAGAGGTCGGTTCTTGTTCTGGTCTGCACCTTTACGGTATGCGACAGTTTGGTATCGGAGCGGAACTCTCAATCAGAGGACCCGCTCAATCAAGTAGCCAGCTTGCTTGATCTATTGATTGTTTATTAGTAAATCAAGTAGGACTTCGTCAAATCTCTGAGAAAAAAAGTTATTTCTCGCAACAAATATCTGAAAATTTCTGAAAGTTGCACTTCGTTTCTCTGATATTAGCATCCGAAATTTCTGATATTCGCATACATAGCCGAAAAATTCTGATGTTAGCATTTCGTTTCTAGGCATATTAGGATAACGATAGAGGTGGTCATATTCTCGGAAACCGGATTTATTCTTTTCTGAAACCAAATCTCCATTCTATCTCGCAAATTTGTTTTTGAAAACCGAAATCTTGCGAAGCCTATCAGCATTTCGTTTTTAGGCATATTAGGAGGTTGTCATATTCTCAGGAACTGGATTTAGTTCTTTTCTGAAAATCGCATCTCTACTCTATTTCGCACAAATGTTTTCAAGATCGCATATTTTTTGAAAGCCAAAACTTTGCGGAACCTTGCCTAGATCTCGCTCATAGTTCTCCTCTGAAATGCCTCACTCATAGCAGATCGACAGATATACCCGAAAAAAAAAAAAAAAAAAAAGGGGGGGCGGGGGTGATCCTCTTGTTTTATTTTTTATTTTATTTTATTCTGTTGATTAGGACCGGGAGGAAAGTATAGCTTGGTTGGTTACCTACCTGCGTTTTCCCTCCCACCCAACCCTTTGCCTGCATTCCCGGTTTGGTACAGTGCCACGTTAGCAGTGCCACATCAGCAACAGTGCTGCGTCAGCAACATTGCCACGTCAGCAACAGTGCCATGTCAGCAACAGTGCCACGTCAGCAGTGCCACGTCACCAGTACCACGCCAGCAGTACCACGCCAGCAACAGTGCCCCACCACCATGACGGTCTCAGTTCTGGGCATGCCAGGCCAACTGGCCAAGGAGCCCATTGCCGAGTACCGACAGCGGTTCCAGGCTCAGCTCGCACCGATCGAGGCTGAGGAACAGCGTCAGGCGGCAGCCGAGGCTGCCTGCCTACAAGCTGAAGCAGCGGCAGCAGCTGAAAAGCAGCGGCTTCAGGCCGAAGCAGACGCAGATACCCAGGCACGCCGCAAGGAAGCCCAGGATCTGCTACAGCGGCACGAAGCCGCCAGCATCGAAAAGCTCAAGTTCTGGCATTTTGAACCATCCGAGCACCACGAAGATGCGACACCGGAAGAGCAGTACAAGGAGTTTCTTGCCAAACTCGTGACCCGGTTGGTTTACACTTGTAACCACCTGCAGTCCGAGTTGGCGAATCTCCAACAAGCGGTGCGGAACCACAAGGATCTGCACGAGGATGCTACACGGGCACTTGATTCCCGCGTACAGGACTTGGAGCAAGTTGCACCAAGACCGGATGTTGGCGAGTCCATCAGTGCACCCTCTACCCGCCAATTGGAGGAACGACTTGACCACGTAGTCGCAATGCTTGGCGACATCAGCACCTTCGCTGCACCAGCCACCATCAGCAAGCAGCTGGACACCTTGAAGACCGAGGTTCAGCAACTGCACCAGCTACCCAACAAGGATGGCAACACCAGTGCGCAGCACTACAAGATGCCGACATTCCGCATCGAAAAGTTCGATGATTATACGCATCAAGACCCGGTCCCCTGGTGGGAGGGCTTTACGACGGAACTTCGGATTCTTTTCGTCCCCGAGCACTCATACATCGGCGCACTGTTCCTCAACTCAAAGGGCGGATGCCAGATCTGGCTCAACCACCTTGCAACCATCCATGGCGTCCAAGTCGCCGATCTACATAAGAAAATCTCTTGGGACGAGTTGACGAAGCTATGGAAGAAGCGGTTCATCGTGGACGACGCCCTAGCGCTCACCATCAACCGCCTCTTCAGCATGACTCAAGGCAACACACCAACACGTGACTGGCTCACTGAATGGCAAAAGATCGTGGCAACACGCGATCTCGAGTTGCCATTTTCGCATCTGCGCCGAAAATTATACAACCGTTCATGCGCCGCCTTGAGCCTCGCACTTGGTGATCGCGAGCAATACACGACCTTCGCCGAAATCATCGACAAGGCAAGGGAGATCATCAAGACCAACAGGGCGGCTGCACACGAGAAGTCAGCGTGGCAGCCAACCTATGTGGAGAAAGGAAAATTTGGTCCGCGTCCTCAGCATGTCGCTGCAGTCCAACCGGACAACATTGTGGAAGACCCGGCAGCCACCCAAGCATCACGTGAGGGAGATCAGGTGGCCGCTGACCAGCCGCGAAGCAACAACAACTCTCGAGGAAAAGGGAAGGCAAAAACCACATCGCCGGCTGGAAACGGACAGTCAACACCATGGGTCAAGTTTCACTTGACCGAGGCCGAATACAAGTGGCGCAGCCGGTATGGCTGCTGCTATTGTTGCAACAGCACCAAGCACAAGACCTCCCAATGCCCGGATCAAGGCAAGGAGGATGTTCGGCCTCGCATCAACTTGGGAAACTGAGTTGCGCGGGAGGTGAGGCGACTCCACCTCTCACTCCGCCTGATTTGGCCGCCTTGTTAGCGGCCTCCGACACATCTGGGGAGAATGCGAATGTCGCAAGTCCTCGGTTCACTTACGAGGATTATCTTGTCCACTTGGTCCCACCGTTGGACCAACCACTCCACGTGCAACAATCCACCGCATGCACTGTTTCACCACCATCGGCAACCGATTCGGGAGCTTCGCCGCCATCGATCGCCGGGGATTCGACGTCATGGTCAAGACTTGAAGAGCTCGACCCGTTGACGTTTGCGGACTTCCAATGGATGCCCCTTCCCCGGTTTGGTCGATTGCCGAAACCGCATTGCAACGTGCTCCTGGCACAATTGCGGGATTACTTGCACACTCCAGTACCAGCTCCGTTGATGGACGCCGGAGTAGAGGTTGTCGACCTTCACGACTGCGTTGCGAAGATCGACGGCGAGTTCAAGATACAACGGTACGACGACATCGACGCGCCATTGTTGTACATACACATTCAGATCGGAGAGGCGACCTGCAACGCTTTGATCGATTGCGGAGCTACTCGCAACTACATGAGCCAAGACTTTATGGTACGCGTTGGCCTTGGGCCATGCGTTCGGACGAAGTCGCAGCCCACGCAAGTCACGTTGGCCGACGGTCACACGCACAAGTCAATCGACCGGTGCATTGATGCCGTTCGCGTGTACTTTGCCCCACATGCAAGCGAGGCCGTGTCCTTCGACATTTTGGACACCAAGTTCAACATGATCTTGGGCATGTCATGGCTGTGAAGCGAGGATCACCCGCTGAACTTCTACCGCCGCACCGTTCACGTTCGTGATCGAAACGGAGTACAAGTCCCATGCACGGTGCCTCCGCCTCACCCCTCGATCAGCTGCCACGTGGTGTCCGCCGCAAGCATTCGAGCTCCCATCATCAGGGATGACATCGAGGAGATGGGTGTGTGTTTTCTCCACGCCCTCCCGCCCCGAGACATCCCATCGACGGACTCGTCACCGGACCCACGCATCACCGAGCTTCTCGACGCCTATGGCGACGTGTTCGAAGCCCCTCACGGAGTAGTACCGGATCGGCCCATTCGCCACGAGATCATCCTCGAGGCCGCGGCAGTACCTCCGCGTGGTTGCATCTACCGCATGAGCGAGGAAGAGTTAAGTGTGCTACGGGCACAACTCGACCTTCTCGAGAAAGGTTGGATTCGGCCTAGCTCCTCGCCATACGGCGCTCCCGTTCCCTTTGTCTGGAAGAAGAACAAGGACTTGCGGTTGTGCCCCGATTATCGTAAGGTCAACGCGCAAACCGTCAAGAATGCCGGCCCTCTTCCGTGCATCAATAACCTCCTCGAACGGCTGGGCGGCGCCAAGATCTTCTCCAAGCTTGACCTCAAATGGGGATATGACCAACTCGAGATCCGGCAGGAGTACCGCTACAAGATTGCGTTTAAGACGCGATATGAGCATTTTGAATGGCTGGTTATGCCTTTTGGCCTTACGAATGCCCCGACCACATTCCAAGCGGCTATGACAACGAAATTTCGACACATGCTGGATAGATTCGTACTCATCTACCTCGACAACATCTTGGTGTACAGCCGGAGTTTCGACGAGCATGTGGAGCACCTGCGCACCGTCTTGGAGCGGCTATGACAAGCCAAGTACAAAGCCAACCGCGACAAATGCGAATTCGTGCGGCAAGAGCTGGAGTACTTGGGACATTATGTGACGCCACAAGGCATCCGTCTGCTTGCGGACAAGATGGAGGCCATCTGCGTATGACCCGAGCCCACCAACGGCACGAAGATGAAACGAAGTTCGGCTCGACATCCACAAACGGACGGGCAAACGGAGCGGGCACATCAAACCGCTCAAATGATGCTTCGTACGCTCATCCGTCTGGATCAGAAAGATTGGGTTGACCGCCTCCCCCACATCCAGTTCGCCTACAACACTTCGTTGCATCCGACGATCGGCGTGACTCCATCCGAGTTGCATCACGGTGTCCGGAAAGGCCGTATCTTCGCTGATCTTCTCCTCCCACGAACAGCCGACATAGACGCTGCTTGCTCCCCCGCTTCCGTTCGGAAGTACAAGGAATTGTTGGCTCAAGCCCGCGCGAACATGCAAACGGCTCAAGTTCGAATGCAGCAGCAAGCCAATAGGCGTCACGTGCCATGTCCCATTCGCGCCGGTGATCTGGTTTGGGTCTCCGCGGAAGAGTTTGCACTCGAGCAGGATGTTTCGCGCAAACTACTCCCCAAGTGGTTTGGACCATGGCCCGTAACATCAGCCGCGGGCGATGAGCCCGATGGCCCCTCATTTGTGATCAACATCCCCCCGCATCTGACGGTCCATCCAGTCTTTCACACCTCGAAGCTGGCGACATATACACCAGCTAAGAGCGACGACTTCCCGGGCCAACGATCGCAAGATCCTCCATCTATGGATTGTCATCAGGAAGTTGACCGCGTCATCACGGATCGCAAGTACGGGAGCAAGCCTCGACAGTACAAGGTTACATTCAAAGCATGCGATCCCGACGACACTCGATGGATTTCAGGAGCAGATTCGAAAGCATCCGCACCGCTGATCTACGCTCACTACGAGCGACAAAGGTTAGCTAAGGGAACTTCACGATCTGCCCCTCCCACTCGGACTGTGGTCCCTCCCTCAGACAGACAGCTTCGCCCTCGCAGGTAAGCCCGGCCTTTCAAGGAGGGGGGGGTGTGGCATACTGCGCAGCCACACGGGCCTGCAGGGCCCCACCAGCATTCTCAGCCTAAAAGCTTGAAAACAAGGGCGTACAGTTCCTGTGTCGTTTTCAGCCTAAAAGCTTGAAAACAAGGGCTTACAGGCCCTGTGTCGTTGCAGCCTGAAAGCCTGAAAACGAGGGCCTTCAGGCCCTATGTCCTTTCAGCCTAAAACAGGGCCTTCCAGGCCCTGAGTCTTTTCAGCCTGAAACGGAGGGCCATTTTCGGGCCCTCGTAAGATCGACCTGCCCTGAAACTTAGGCACCAGACCAGGGTTTTAGCACAGGCCATTTTGGCCTGTTTTCAAGACAGSCCTTGCTTCAACTTCAACRCCAGGGTCTGGCACRTTTTSGCATYGGCAAGAGCAKCCTCCTGGACGGGCCAGCACTATATAAGACTGGCCCGCCCTACAGGCTGCAGACAGTCACGAGGTAGTTCCTAGGAACTTCCCAGGCACTTCACGTGCAGGAGGCAGGAGGCAGTCTTCAGGATTCGGCAGCAGCACTCTGGAGGAGC